GTTGTCTTTGAAGTGCGGTAAGTTAATGGCAGTCGCATCTTTGGGACTTCACGTAGCTCAGCATGTCGACTTGAAGGAGGTACTGGTGTCTTGGAAGGACTTTAAGAAGGACAAAGAAGTCGATAGGATATTCCGCGCTGCACTTGCTAACGATGTAAGTCCTTCTGAAGTCATCACAAGTCCTTAGTCAAGTCACCTCAAGTACTTAGTCAAGTCGTCGTCAAGTTCTTAGTCAAGTCACCTTAAGAACCTAGTCAAGTCGTCCGTAAGTCATCGTCAAGTCACCACAAGTACTTGTCTAAGTCGTCGTCAAGTCGTCATCAAGTCATTATCAAGTTACTTGTCAAGTCCTTCAAGTCCCTAATATAAGATGAGTGACACCGAAACAAAGGCGGAAGAAACCCCTCAGCAAATTACCAAGCCCAAAGCTCCGGGTAGAGTCGCTGCAAGGAAGAAGCTTGCGGAGATGAACAGGAAGAACAAAGCTAAAAAGGAAAAGAAGGAAGAGGAAAAAGAAGAGGAATCCTTTATTAATCCTGGGTACGTCATTGGCGCGTTGGGAGTTGCTATAGCAGCAGGCAGCCTCTACTTACAATGGCGGGCCGCTAAACCAAAGGTAGAATTAAAAGCTGTGCATGTAACGCAGGAGCCCCGAAGCAAAATACCCGTGATGGAATAACCTTCTCACTCTGTAATATAATGTCTACCGCATTGAAAACTGTTGAAGAGGCAGCTATCATTACTTCCATCGTTGCGGGTATTGGTTGGGTAGGTAAGAAAGTGCTCAAAGAAGACTTTACTAAAGACCCAAGCAAGAGCTTCGCTGGCTTTGCTAAAATGACCGCCGCTGTAACTGGAGCCGTAATGTTAAAGGACTACCTACAGAAGGAGAAGTACTTGCCTAAGATATAAATGGTAAGCGTGGTTGCAGGAGGAGTTATTGCAGCGTTAGCATTCACTGGAGCCAATTATGGTGGTCAATATTTGGATAGATTAGTTAGAGGCAACAAAAGCGATGCTGAAAGAAAAAGACACGATTTGGCGCTGGAGAAATATCAGCGAGACGTGGCGGCTTGGAATGAAAAAAGACAAGCTTACAGGGATTGGTTGGATAAAAACTACCAAGACAAAATGCAGGCGGATATAAACTTCGAAAATACGGACTACGCCTTTAAACTTTATGCGCAGACGCACCCCGACTTTAGGATTAGCAAGCCTCAATTTAAGAATTACTACCAGCCGTCAAAGAAACAAAAAGACAATGAGCTGGTCTTCGTAGGAGTCGCAGGGCTGGCAGGAGGTGCCGCCTTGGCGTATCTGCTCTGAGCTGCGCTCAGATCACTAGTGACGCGAAGCATGAGCGTCTAATAT